GGTTCTGTCCTACGAATCGCGGGAGCAACTAATGGGCGACACCATCAGCCGGTTCGCGTTTGTTACGCCCAATGTCGTCGCCCTCGGCTTCTGTCAGATAGCTCTGCGCTCTTACTACGAAATTCTCATGGACCAACCTCAATCGTTCAGCCGTGTTTTACATCGTGCGGCGAAGAAGCTCCAAATCGAGATGCCCCATCCATCACTACTCCAGTACGACTGTGGGAAATTGCAGAAGCTCGCTGAACTGCTGCATGAGCGCAAGGCCGGAGGCCATAGGGTCTTAATATTCACGCAGATGACGAAGGTGCTGGACATACTGGAGCAGTTTCTTAACCTGCACGGGTACTTGTACCTACGTTTGGACGGTTCGACGAAGACGGAGGACAGGCAGTACATCACGGAAAGGTTTAACGCAGACGAGAAGATCCTATGCTTCATATCAAGTTCGCGGTCGGGGGGCGTGGGCATCAAGTGAGGTCTTGTTCACAAATACGCGGAAGACTGTATCTGATGGTTTTCTGGTAGCTTGACTGGGGCAGACACGGTGATATTCTACGACAGCGACTTCAATCCACAGATGGACCGGCAATGCGAGGACAGGCGAGTGACTTCATTCGCTCTATATGCCCTCCCCTCCTAACCATCAACTTTCTACAGAGCTCACCGCATCGGTCAAACCCGCGACGTCCACGTCTACCGCTTCGTCTCTCAGCACACCGTCGAAGAAGCTATGCAACTCCGTGCCTCGCAGAAGCGGCTCCTCGACACCCTTGTGATCCAGAAGGGTGGTTTCGACTGGCAGGAGTTGTTCAATCCTGGCGACAGGGGTGAACAAATGACCTCCGACCTGGGACAAGAGCTCCTTGGCAAAGTGGGGAGTGTCGCGATGGCGCGGGCTATGCAGGAGTTTGATGAGGAGGAAGACAGAACGGCTGCGGAGAGGGCGGAGAGGGAAGAGAGGGAGCAAAGTGGGTGGGATGGAGAGGATATGGACATGGGGAATGAGACGAAGACAGTTGGCGAGGAGCACTTTTCGAATGCTCAAGACGGCAACGTGTGGGGGGAACCACATATAGAGGTTAGTCCAGCAGGGCCAGCTGGAAGCCTAGACGACACGGTGCCACATGTGGAGATGGGCGCGGAGCAGAACCCAGGTCCTCTAGAGGACAAGGAACCTCGGACAACGCAGGAGTACATGATTTCTTTCGCAGAGAGAGACTTGGATTTCTTCCTCGATCCTCACAACACGCTGTATTCGCGCTGATCGACTAGAGCGATCTGTCGTCGGGCAAACTTTAGCTTGACTCTTGTGTAACATCGTCCATGTGATTTTTTGCCCCGCCTTGGTTCTTGGTCTCTGCTCGAGCATACATTACGCCGTTATTCTTCTTGTAGTAATCTCACTAGTATGTATGTAGCGTATGCATAATCGAAATCCGCGACGATCCACAGGGACTCGACCACTTGCATGGTCCATGATGACGTGAGCTGTATCGTTTGGTGCTTGCCACTGCTGTACCGCTTGCCAAAACACAGCACCCTGCACAATGCTTCACGGATTCACACGACGAGGTCGACCACAACGCCGCGTGCAGCACTGTGGTACTCAATCTGCCTTCTAGCGCCCACTGGCACGTCACGGTCATGCACCCTGTTTCGACCTGGAAGACTAGTGCCATACTAAGAAGTGGACGCACCTCTGCCTTCGTAACTTTCAGTACTAGCGAGTCACTGGGATACAGGGCTTAGTGCTTGCTCTTTCCCCCAGTCACACCGCATGGGGGCCTTCTCAAATATCAAGCAACGGTGCTCGAGCATCCTCCACTCCTTTCGCATCGCACTCCTCGGTCCTCCAATGGCGTCTCCTCGCTGGCGCGACGAGCCCCTTTACATACGAATCCGGAACAACGACATCGTCCAATGTATCCTGCCATGCTAGTCAAATACCGGGGAGAAGCCCGTCCCAGGGTTCAATGTACACACCATCGACGGTGCCAACGACTTCTTTTTCAAACTCGAGGCATTCCTGGACACTACGACGAGCACTGAACTACACCCAAAGTACCAGGATGTGCTGGACCTCTTGAACAATCTATACGTCACAAACGCGTACTTCTGGAAGAATTCCGAAGGACCCGAGCACGAGTACCTTCAGCTCGGCTTCTGTGATGTAAGGGTCGCCGATGATGGTCAGGGTAGTGCGGCCTCGCCACGTCGTGGGGGGAGTTCTGGGACTGCCCTCTTAGGCAGGAGATCGTCCACGGCCCCTTCATATCCTGCGATCAACTGTATCATCCTTGACCGGACGCGTCACGGTGGTTCCACAGGAAAGAGAGGAACACCTTTGAGACGAAGTACATGTTTGTTACATCACTTACGAGGTGGTCGTTCACAGCCACATCTTCTCTTAGGCATACCTCGAACATCGAGAAAGCGCAACTCAGAGGCCCTGAGCCCGACTCCGTTGCAGGCCTTGGACCAAGCGCAATCCTCCTCGAACCCCGAACTTCCTACAGGAGCTATCACGGAACCCGAGCCACAGGTCCCACTGCGGCACTCTTCACGATCCATTATCACTGTCGGATGTCTCTCCGGCGCTGCCTCAGTATCCGGTCGATCCTCGTCCTCGTCCTCATGCTCGTACCAAGCTGCTGATCGCATGCACGTCGGGCGCACAGGGCACGAAACCGAGAAAGACATCCGGCGCATCGTCACTGCGAACCAGCGCACCGCGTGCATTGAATCGCATCCTCGTCCACTTCCCATCGCGCGCGACTCCCCACACAGCCTCCCAGTGCTCAAGGTGCTCGCCCTCGCCAAGGTGACACATGCGTTGGATAGCAATTACGATGTGTTCAACCGCCAGTGTTACCGGTTTGCGGATACGCTGTGGACGATCATCTTTGAGAAGATCATTCCGGGCGTGACGGTGCCGGATTTGAAGGGCGCGAGCAGGTTTCTGGCGGTGAATTGTACTCAGTTGGTGGCGAAGGATCATGAGGAGATTTATGATCTCTATGAGAAGGAGTGGGATCGCATTCAGGATCTGATGCAAAAGAAGAGCGCGGTGAGTCTTGTACACGAACTTGACTTGTGTCTTTGTGTGTTGGGTCTGACATACATGGCAGAGCATCTCTCAGCATGCGGAGAAGGTCAGGCGGGATGAGCAGGCAAACGAAAGGGCAGATGCGGCTGAAGCAGAGGTTGAAGAGGAGAGGGCTGCCAGGATCGCACTGGAGAAGAGGGTCGCTGAGCTTGAGCGCATTAACAAGTAGATCAGTCTACTCGTACATCGTTGTTTCGACTCTTCTTACTCTCTGTACATTCACATAGCGCTGCGCGCCAATACACAACAGAGTACTTTTACCACGCCAGAGCACTTATACAGCAGCCATCTCACAGCGTAATCGGATACACATATGGCACACCTCGGAGCTCCCTAGGACGAACCGATATCCGCACCGTCCAAGTCCCAATTCGCGAAACCCGAACCTGCGCCAGGATTTGGGGCATCGGGATAAGCACGCGGTCGTCCTTCTCCCGTCGACATTGACGTTAAACCCGTCGAGATAGAGAATCCATCAACGCGCGTTAGTCCACCAACCCCATCCCTTTCAACACGCTCATCATCCGATGAACACCATCCACATACGCGTCGATGCGGTGGCCTATCGCCTCGGGGTCGATGCCGGGCGGAAAGTCGCTTTCCGAGTCGCTGTACGGGGAGGGGTCAGCATACGCCGTGGCATACTTGGCCCAGGGAGGAGATGGGGGGATAGTGCAACAAAAGTATTTAGCAAAGTACGAACCCGTCACGGTTGAAGCTCTCCGAGCGCCATTTGACGATCTGCTTGTGTACGTTCTTGATTCGCGAGTGTTCGGGCTCGGATATCAGGGAGGATGTTAAGCTGGGAACTGGGGGTAGGTATTGGTTAGTGAATGTCCAGGAAATTCAACGTGGATTGAGAGGGGAAAACTAAAGGCAAGCTCGATTGGCTTCAGGGCCATACGTCGGGTAAAAGAAGCGAAGGGTTTGAAGGCTAGAGGACCCGATACGTACATACTTGGTCGAGGCCCTCAGGGGAGGCGAAGCAGGTGCAACTTTCACCGGGGGACGCGGAGCACGTCCGAGGTGGGTCGCGGTCTGGCCATGGATTGACGTGTGCGAGGTGGACGCGAGCAACACCCTACGCATCAAGTCAGCATCATTAGCTTCGGAAAGAGAGTGAGACTAACTAGAGTATACACCTCCACCACCAGCCTTACGAACTCTGCCCTTCCCTGTTTATCCGCAGAGACCAGCTGGCGCAGGGTTTGAGCTGATGACGAACTTGCCTGGGGGCGTAAGTTCGAGCTCGTTCTCGCGCATTCAGCCAGCACCCGGTCCACCTCCTCCATAAGCCTCGCCCGCATCTCCTCCACGCCCATAAGCAGCTGTAATACCGCCGGTACATGGCTTATAGCGAGAGCGGGATGCGTCAACTCGTACAGGGCGTATCGGTGCATGAAGAACGGCGCTATCGGTTCGCCCACAGATTCACCATGTATCCGCTCACACATCGCTATCGTATAACTTGAGGGATGAGTAGATTTACGGTCGAGACTGACTAACGTACCGTGTACTTTCAAGGAATCGTCTTTAGTGGGTCCGGTGGGAGATGAGTCGAGAGTTGCGTCGACGTATACATTGAGTGTTTCGATGTCGCTCTGGGTTTGTTTTGAGATTGGGTGAGACGCAGTTGTTGGTGGGACCATGATCTTCATCCACACTTGATACAGAGTTGACAGCAGGAAGACGGCGCGTGTCCCTCGCTCTAGCCTGACAAAGATCTGCAGCATCTCTCCTCCAGAACTCCGTTTTCGTTGCAGCGCTCCAGGACCTTCAACCAGGTTCTTTGAGTCCTCTGCCTTCCCAAAATCATGTTTTCCCTCTGCACAACCGTCATGTTTCCCCTTTGCTCAACCCTCATGGTTTTACCCAGCACACTCACCGACAAGCCCGCGTTGTCTAATGGCTATGACGTCAGACTTCTACTTTCGTTCTGAGAAAAGGACTCTATCTGGAGGTTGCGGGTTCGAGTCCCGCCGTGGGTTTTGTCCCTTTAAGCAGGGAAGACCCCGAGTTAACTTTTGCTCGAGAAATCAGAGTATTCGGCGAATCATTCACGAACCATCTTCGGGTAGCTGCTACATAGATGCTCCTTCACAATCAAAGGTTCCGACCATCGAGACAGTGCTGGAGCCCAATACTGTCTCCTGAACACTAACTCGATCCAGAGCTGCGCATTCAAGCTAGATAGATGTCCACCGAGACCGTTGCACATCACATTCGAACATCATCAGACACCGTTGCTATCAGAGTTACAAGCGTACCAACTCGAACAACGAAACGCGTGAATACCGTGATCGCGAGAGCCATGCAGCATAAGCGCAGAAATGACACAAAAAGAAGACGTCAAACCAAAGCAGAAACCCTTGTAAAGGGGATCGACACAAACAGATAGAAGACAAGGACAAACAAACAAAACAGCTGTCAACTTGGCTACAAAGGACACACCAATGGCACCCCCTGCACCAACCTCTCCCCATCAGGAAAGAACCAGAACGCCAACGCAATAAGCACATAGACCGCCACCAGCACCACCCCATTCAACCAATGACTCCTCCCCCCCTCCATCACCCCCTTCACCAACCACACCGCCCCCGCAAGACAAACCACCTCCACCAGTTCAAAGCTCATCAGTAAAGGCCTCCCCATGCCCCATCCCACCAGGACCATAACAGGCACAACCAAGAGGGCGATCTGGATACAGCTGCCTACGGCGACTGACATGGCCAGGTCGAATTTCCCCTTGGAGGCGACGACGACAGCTGTGGCGTGTTCAGCTGCGTTGGAGATGATGGGGATAATTATGAGTGTGAGAAATTCTTTAGAGATGGAGGGGTGGGATGCGACGAGGCCGTCGAGGGAGGAGACGAGGGCTTCGCAGGTTATGTAGGCGAGGACGGTGGTGAGGCCGAGGAGGACGAGGGAGGTCGGGGTGTTGAGTTTAAGGGCTTCCGAGTGCGTGGTAGGGGGGACGTATTGGGAGCTGCCAGAGGAGGGGGCGCGGGTGAGGGAGTCGGTGGAGACAGAGGAGGTGCGGGTGAGGCTTGGGGCGAGTGTCATAAGTTGGGTAGAGGTGTCCAGGAAGAGGTGGTTATGCGAGTAGAACTGGAAGACCAGGTAGGCGATGTATCTGGAAAGAGTTAGGAAATGTGTGGTACTCTGGAACGCATGAACGTACACCATGATCAAGATGATCGCGCTTCCTCTGCTCAACTGCAGCATGATATCGACCTCGGTCCCAGGAGCAAGTCGATTTTCGAGTAAACCGTGCTACAGAGAGCGATGAGTTGAAGGCTCCTGACGAGGAGACTAGGATTACTCACGAAAGCCGCCGGAACGATAAGTGCAAGTACAGCTGCGACCATGAGCGTCGAGTTCAGCTGAGCCACCATGGGTTGGAACTCCTGCTGGTGGAAGCGATAACCACCGACTGTAGAACGAACGATCAGCCGAGAACCTAGTCATGTCGCAGGAGGTGTCTTACCAACGAACGCCATGCCCAGCACCAAAAGCAAGTTGCTCAAAAGCCCGCCCAAAAGAGAACTCTGCACCAACTCAAGCTCGCACTGCCCATCAACAACAACATTAGCAAAGCGAACAAAACAGAAAACAACTGGATATACACACTTTATTCAACGCGATCCCCGCAATAATCATCTCCACCACATTGCCTAGGGTGGCATTCAACAGCCCTCCAACGCTCATGCTCGTCCGCACAGCAATCTGCTCCGTCCCCAAGCCCAACAGCGCCGCAAGGGGAATAATCCCGAGGGCACTGAACACGAAGATCATCGTCGGGCTAAGACCGGCATGGGCGAAATGCATACCCCAGGAAATGGGGATGAAGATAAGGAGGACGTTGAGGGGTGAGTATGTGATAATTGCGCGCAGGGACTGGGCGTATGTGGGTGGGGGCCCGGTGAGCGGATGAGCGGGTGTGAAGAGTAGACGGAGGCGTGCGAGGATGGGGCTCGACGAAGTCTTGGGTAGATCGGCTAGCTTTACGCGCACTGTTTCGATTGTGTCGTTGTCCAGTTTCTCGATATCGTTGTGACGATTCTGCTTCGAGGTCGTGTCGGCATCGCTCCGAGAGAGGAAAGACGTGGCCATCCCAAGCGCACCTCTGTTCAGCGCAGGCGGGACCTGCGTCTGTGCGTTTCGTAGCTCAGATTCCGAGCTCGGAAAGGTAGTAATGTAATTCATCCCCCTCTCCCCGCCCGTTACTTGAGGAACTCGTTCACGGAGGGACGGACTAGGAGGTTCATCTTCCTCGTCAAGGCCAGCGAGGTCGCTTGCTGCGCCGTGTGGGTGATGTTCCTGGGTATGAGAGGCGGTGGCATTTTGGCTGGCAGAGTTGGTTTCGTTCATTCACGTTGGTGTGCGGATAAGGGGGGCAAGGGGCAAACTCGGCAGGGGGGGTGACTCTTATATGTTTCGGCTGGGGCTATTTTTAGATTTACTGGAGTGATTGGAGTGGTCAGGTGGTGATGGGATGTGGCGGAGCATACATAGTCACTCCCGGTGGACTAACGGCTTGACTAACGGTGTAACATTGACAGCAGCAGCTGACGCTCGTGTTTACAGCATTGCCAATATCTCCGTGAAGAGTACTCAGGTTGATGAGTTGAAGAGAGAGAAGTCGAGAAACTGAGTTGGAGAGAGAGAAGTCGAGAAACTGAGTTGGAGAGAGAGAAGTCGAGAAACTCAGCGGAAGTCGACCGTTGAGTGGGATGTTTATTGCTGAACCTGCAAGGTTTGGCTCAGTACCACTTCACCCTGACGGCATCACGAACACCCAGCCTCAAGACAAGCCTCATCCTCCGAAATCGCTCTCGTGTCGAGGAAGCACTGGGTACAACATAGTTTGTAATGCATGTGGTAAGTCAAGTTACAGGTGAGCGGCGTACTTGGGTACCGGTCATCGGGCTACAGTAAGTATGTAAGTGAGAATAATAAAGCAATTCGGAAAGCATATACATAGAGCAGAGCAAGAAAACTGGCGGACGCCTAAACCAATAGCAAGAGAGAAAAACAAAGGCAGAAGCCAATCAATCTATGGCAAGAGCAACTTGGCAATGGATAGTAGAAACCACCCGTTATAAAATCCCCACCCAGTTGCAGATTCAGAGCGACCTCAGCGACTGGACGAGCTCACCCCACGCGCTCCAAAAACGCCCGCATTGCATCCCCAAACGGCTCAAACAGCTTTTCAAACTCCCCGCTCGTCAACGAACCACATGTCCGACCTGAACTTGCAGGGGTCGATAACGCTTTCGAAACGTGAAGCATCAACGCCGGCGCACACTCCGCCCCTTGCCTCTCCTTCTCGCGCACCCGCTGCGCCTCCTCCTTCTCCCTTACCCACGCCTTCACCTCTCCAGAATCCGCTTGTAAGATGCGGGACCACGTCTCAACAAGCGAGTCAGGAGGACACACATGTCCGGAGTGTTGGTAGAGTGATTTCAGGGAGTCGATGATATGTGGTGCGAGGGGTTCTGTAAATAGGACTTAGGATAAGCGAGCTGCCCATGGTTTATCAGTACCGAAGATGTCGAAAAACGTACCTGGGGGAGGGTTCACAGGACCCAAGACGACGTCCGCTTCATCCACCACACCAGACAACCTCTGCGCCGACTGACTCTTGCGCGGCCGACCCCGACCCCTGCGCGGATGCACGACTGGGCTCAAACTCAGTTCTGGTCCATCTCGGGCGCGTCTCGTCGAGGACGCGACAATGGGCGCTGAAACATCTTGAGCAGGAGGAATAACTATCTGGGTGGGTCGAGGAAGGGGCGGGGACTCCATCGGCGGTTCAGGCTCCTGCATCGTATCCAGGTCTTCAACTTCAGAGCTCTGCGCGACGATGTTGGGTGGAGGATTCTTGTGTGGTCGGCCCCGCCCTCTACGAGGCGGCTCGACTGGGCTGAGACTCGGTTCTGGTCCATAGAGGGAATCTAGTGCGCGTTTCTTCGAGGACGTCAGTGTGGGCGCTGGAACATCTTGAGCAGGAGGGATGTCACCCTCAATTTCTCGAGGAAGGGTTGAAGATTCGGGTTCAGCTGGTCCAATCTCCTGGACGTCTTCGTGGAGTGACTGAGCCACAGGATTCTGCACCATCTGCAGCCCAGGGAGAGGAACGACACACCTCAACTTCCCACTAACCGCCTTCCCCAGCTCCACACTAGCAATTTCTATCACATTCTCGTCGCTCAGAAACTTCCGCGCCGCGAGACGACCAGAGAGTGAAGGAAACACGTCAATGGACAGTGGTGGCGACTCCTCCAACTTCCTCAGCTGCACGCGTAGGTCGCCGAGGGAGACCATCTGCTTGACTATACACGACCAAGGATCGTCCTTATGCTCTGGGGAGATGAAGTTCGAACGGGTGGAGGAAGCTTCAAGATGAGCCAGGACGTGGATGACTTCTTCCGCGGGGAGGATATGTTGACGATCGCGTAGGATGCGGAAGAGGGTGCTGTTGTAGTCGTTCAACAGTCCGGCTTTGCGTCCCCTTTCAATCCGGTCCCATGAGGCTGCTTCTCGCCTGATACGATGGTCCACATCTTCCCAATCCGCAAACGTGATGTATCCATGTTTCACGTTTGTGATTAGCTGATGGTACGACCCGAGGAGTCTGGAGAGCGAGTGGTTGTGCTCAGGCCTTTCAGGTTGCTGCCCTGGGTCGGAATGGGTGATCGGTGGGAGTCGCAGTGAAAGTTTGATCTTCCTAGGCTTCACTTTAGGCTCAGAGGATGTGCTCTCGGCAAGAATGGGAGACCTCAAGGATGTCCGTTCAGCAGAATCTTGTTGTGTTTGCGGTGTAGGTTCCTCGATGGGGAGGTCTGAGGGCGCTGGATCACCGAGGTCATCCGCGGGAATGTCCATGGATACTTCAGAGGGTTTCTGCCCAAACGCAGCGCTGGTAGAAGGCGATTTTCCAGCGCCTTCCCTCCGAAGACAAACTTCTGCAAGTTCCTTCCCCACT